TGGTGGGGTAAGCCCGCCAGTCAGGCTGGCCATTGCTGCTTCTATCAGAACAGCCGTGGGGGGGAAAAAAGGGTGGGTGGTGTTGGGGAGAGGATAAATAAAAGGTTGGGGGGGGGGGGGGGGGGGGGGGGGGGGTACTGTTATGTATTGCATGCCTTAGCGGTTAGACCATTGACCACCCGTCCTCGAGAGGACGGCGCATTGTTCCCACAGGACCGATCACCGATGGCAAATCGTTCCTTCCGACTTTGCCAAAAAATGCTCAAAAATGTATCGAGGGAGGGTGTGTGAGGTTTCTGCTCCTCACCGCACTACACAAAGAACCCCTGATTACCCCGCCTCCCCATGTGAGTGCGATCTCCTGGTCTTAGCTGCTGTGCAGGCAACAAATACATGTGCACCCAGAGAAAACGATCTGCCGCCCGTGTGTAAGGAAGGCAGAACGATTAGATGCTTTTCGCCAGCTTGCGGCAGCATGACGACATGGGTGAAAACCAACATATCGAATGAAGTCTGCGCATATCGGTGCACCGGTGTCATTGCGGAGGGCGATGCGTGGGTTTTGTGGCTGAGGCTTGGGCAGAAAAGCTTTGAGCGAGAGAGAGATGCACATATTGTATAAAATACGGTCAAGACCGGCAATCTGAATGGGATTACAGCGACGCGCAGTGGCTGCAACCTGTGCATCCGTTCACTGATGCAATTCACGTAAAACGAAGAGCCAACGAGCGATGGGGGCGCACGTAACTCTTCGCGAGTTCGGACGAAGAAGAATAACATATTCTCTCTGTCGCATCAGTAGAACGGTGCTACGTAGTCTAAACGAGTACCTGTGCGCACGAATGTTCAACAACGTAACACGTTGATTCCATGCATTGAAAGAAAAACAAAAGATGCTCGCCGACTTGCCCATCCTGCCCTTTCGTGCTCCTACCTCCCTGTGAAAGGTGCGTCATTTGAGGAATAAAACGCCTCCGATTGTCCCAGGGATGGTAAGAGTCCTAACAACAAAATCCCTCCGTTGAACGACACATTTCAACGCGAAAAATGAGGTGGCCGAGATTCTACCGCACTGTTTAATTGTCTGCACCTTCGCTTGGGCGACCCCGTTGAAGGCTTCTGGGACAACGTCTGCATGGAAACCCCTGACGGCAGTTCGATATTTTCTTGCTTCAGTGGCCCCACCTTGACGCTGTCACATGCCATGATGCATTCAATACGAGCATGGGAGAAACAAATAGAGACAGACAGACAGAGACAGACAGAGAGAGGTAGAGACAGACAGACAGAGAGAGAGGGAGAGAGACAGAGAGAGAGAGAGAGAGAGACAGACAGACAGACAGACAGACAGACAGACAGACAGACAGACAGACAGGCAGGCAGACAGACAGACAGACAGACACAGGTTGGTCGCAACGATCGTAGATTTAGATGTGATGACACATGTAATGCGTACAAAAGGGTATAATAGACTGCGGTGAAAACCACCTTACTAGTGGAATTTATTGACCTTTATGGATAGTAGCTCTAGGTGACCTGGTGCACTATCCACACAAACTAAAACAATATCAAAAACTAACATAGTTGGCGTAGGCGCCATGGCGAGTTCCCAGATGCACTGCGAAAGTACAGCATGAGAGACGAGGGAAGTTCCGCATGTACCGTCAGCAAGGCTAAGTTGCACGGGGTCAATCTAGACATTTCACAATGGCTGTGGCGTACTGTACCTCAAGGCCAAGCGCCGCACCCCAACCATAACGACATCTCGAGAGCGGCCAATTCCGGAGGCTTGGACTGTCGTCACATCGACCATGAAAGAAACAAATCTCCCTCTTCAGTACCACCTACCCCGCTCCTCAAGAGCAAAGAAATCAGTCAGGTGCCGCTGTCACAAGCAAATCCAACTTTCAAGTGTTACGGTCTTTCGTGTTTTCGCCGGCAGAGGGAATGGACAAAGCTCGTTCTCTGAAAACAATTTCCCAGACGCGGCTAGGTAGGAGGCGGGGGGCACACACAACAGGGCATAGCTACGAAACCCTACCCCGTGCGTAAAGTGCAAGATTGTTTCTTGAGCGCCTCTTCGTGTTCGGAGACATGTTCTGGACAGAAGAATAAGGTTCCTGCAATAGCAATAGTCCAAGCATCACATGGTGGTTGCAATGGCTCTCTCTTTAAGCCCGGCGTACCGTCAGCGAAACGCAAGACCACCACCCTATCTCCGTCTCATAACACGCTGGTGAACGGGAGAGAAAAACGCCGGCTACGGGGCAGATAAAAAGGTGTTGAAGACCTCTATCCGCGATTCTCGCACCTCCTCAGAGCCACATCAGCGTCCTTAGCATCAGCCTTCCCCATCGTAAGTACAGAGCAGCGTCGCCGCCCCAATCCCACCACACGCGTTCCTGCTACCGCGGTGGTAACGTCGCCGGCCACCCGTGTGGGTGTGGAATGCACCTGTAAACCGCATCACGCACCAAGGTAAGCCCTCTCCACCGTGCGGGGAAGCCTGCAAAAGCGTTCCCTTGTTGGACGAAAACCGCCACACGGCACGCGTCACACCTACGTGTCGGCATTTCAACACTGAAGGTCAACGCCAGGTAGGTGTGATGCTGTTGCGGGGTCTGTCGTTGTGCCGTCACAGAAAGCACACCTCACGGGAACCCCGTATGCGTGAATGGAAATCAACGACCTGCGTGTGATGGAGGCGAAAGTTGCTGGGCTAAGGCCGCCGGCTCTATTGGGGTACAAGCGAGGAGACATCGGATTCAGAGGTGCCCGTCGAGATCTATGTACACTAAACAAGTAGCAATGCATCTATCGGAACGCAGTAGTCCTTCGCCGGTCGGCACCCCGTAGATCTTTCGGTGTTGCGCCCTTCCTGCGCAAATCCCTGTCAACCTGCAGAAATGGCGCCCAACATATATCCTGCCAGGCTTTAAGTAATCGGAGTGCAGTCAGTCCCAACAACCCTCTGGATTGACAAGCTTCGAATGTATGTAACGTCCATTCCGTATGCCCGGGTAGCTTCGTAGGGGAAGGGCATCCCGTGTGTGGGGTCGTACCGCTGCTTTACATGTAATCTACCATGTCTTTTGTAGGATAGTCTACAGCAGACGCTGTGTAGTGGGCGTCAGGTTTTATTCTACCGATGGCAGCCCTCCTAACCCAAAAGCGAAGCAGGCCAGCAGGTAGCAGGTGGCACGGCGACGGTTGTGGGGGGGGGGGTCGAGGGAGGTATATAAATCCACGTGCTCCATGTCGAGTCTGTTACAATCACACACTGCGGTGCTCCATGTCGAGTCTGTTACAATAACACACTGCAGTTGCATTTGTGCTGCTGCTGTACTGCTACAGAGTAGCCCGGAGTACCACGTATTCTATGCATAGAAAAGAGGCCAGTCCCAGCCTTCTTCAACCCAACCTATAGCACATGATAGGGAACCCGTTTGCCCAGGCCTTGCGTAGAGGGGGGGGCGCAATTAAGCGCACTGTCCCGTTCTAAAGCCGACGGGGTCGTCGTTCTAATGAGCAAAACCCAACTGCCGTGCGGGATGTTGGACCTGGTGAAGAGCTGCCGTGTACAGGAGTTGATGTGCTACTGCTGTAGATCAGACCACTGCATTTAGCCAATGCATACCCGTACAATGCAAACGAGCCAAAAGTTTCCACCACACCGAAGTTCGGGTGCCTCAAAGTCAAACTAAACGCAATTCAACAGAGGGAGCTACAGTCTCCACGCTATGATCTCCCCCCGCATGAACGACAGAGCAACAGCAGTCGGGATTTCTTTCCTCGCCTTAGAGCCAGCCCAGGTCTTGGATAAAGTTGTGTGCATGATGCGGGACCCTGCCGTGTTCCCGACAAAAACCCATGCCGACGACCGTGTCACAGCCAACTGTAACAGCGACACACAGCATAACCATGGCTTAAGAAGGAGCATCCTGCCCGCCTTCCTTGTGGGCGCTATCAAACACACGTGTTGCCCCCTATACGAAATTGAAAAAAAGTACGGACGAAAAATCACGCCGCAGGTTTCAGCGGGGTCAATTTTGTTTCATCCCCTCCCCAGATTGGACAAGGCTGAGCCCAGTTCTTTCGCCACCTCGTGCTCCTCACACAGACCTCGGCCTGCCACCAAAGTACACGGGCACCTCAAGCAGGTCATACCCTCCACTGGAAAGCTGTTTTCACCCTTTGATTTTGCTTTGGACGCGAGAAATGCCTCACGATCACATCTGAGTTGAACCAGCTTTCTGCTGCTGCGCGCAACCTTTTCAGCTCTTGGGAGCCAACTTTCACCGAGGTTTGCTGAAACACTACGGTCCCCCGATTCGGCCGATGCTTTGCCTATCGTAGAGATAAAGTACCATAGAACTAATCCATGATGTGCATGATTAGGGATCTCCACTACAGCGTCCGCGGTTGGCCTGCGAAAGTCGGCCCAAATTCAAGTCTTAAGTCCAGTAGTCAGCAGAAGTGGCTTCCAGAACGATCATGTGTCTACCTCCGAAAACATATAGAAATCCAAGCCATGGAAGCACGCACCTGACTTTCAACGCCGTTTGCTGAAGACCTAACCCCAACCAAACCTGACAGAAATTGGGGTGTGTGCATCTCTATGTGTGGGCAAGGCATATCGGATGTGCACGATTAGGGATCAGCACTACAGCGAGAGGCATAGCAGAATAACTCAAAACTCTATGCGGAGGGACCGCCAGGAGGTGTGATTCCAGGATTTGTACTGTCCGCATAAAAATATATATATGGTAATTTTTCCATAGGGGGCAACACGTGTGCAAACACTACTGCTGCACCGGCACCGTGCTACGCAGTATGCGGGGCACCGCAGACGAGATTCTCCAGATGCCCCCAACCCCGCACCCGCCTGCTGTAGACCAGGACACCATGATCACCCGTGTTGCAAGTCCCACAAAGGCAAAAAAAATATGACAAAGGGGCTCCGCGAAAATCGATGGTACCCCGCTTGGCCCCCGATGAGGTGTTGCCCTTTGACACCATCTGGTGCACACCTTTGTCACCGCTAGTGCTCCCCACACAGATGGCTATGTGCTATGAAATCAACAGGACACCTCAAGCTTGTTGTGTTCTACACGCGTAGACATTTGGTTTGCCCTGGTTTTGCTCTAAGCCTGTCAAATGCTGTGCTATCAAAAGTGAAAGAGCTGCTGGTTCAAGCCCATTTCGCAGCTGTCAGCGCCGAACTTCACGCTGCTATACACCTACGAAGGAGTTGACGAATTCGCTCGAAACTTCGGCAGAGTGCATAGCATAGGCATAGGTAGCATTGAGGGGTTGGCCACTTTTTGGATCGCCACTACGAGGGTCGTTCCAATGAAGCACTCTATTGCCTAGACGGACCAAAAACGCCCCACATGTCTACCTCCATTTTTTTGTTCGGGAATCGCCGGCAAGATCCCATGATCCCCCGCAATTGGACCTTCAGCGCTCTATACACCTCGAAAAAACGACCCCGTCCAATTTTTTTTTTGCACCACGCTGTAGAGACATGCCTAAGGTTGCTTTAGAGGGTTGGCCACTTTTTGGATCGCCACTACAGCCGGAGTTGTTGACGAATAACGGCCTGTCCCATAGGAATCCGGCCGCTGTGGGGGCTCCGCGTGATCGGTGCCTTGTCGTAATAATAAAAAAAAAATCGCTTTTTGTGGAGACTTGCAACACGGGTGTGATCTTGCAACAGCAAGATCTTGGCTTGGATCATGTGTGCGTGTGTAAACGTCACATGATACGATACACCACATACCATAGCCATCTGTTGGCATATGAACCAATCAAATAGAAACATGACGTCCGAACACCCGGCACTGACCTATTTCTCTCTCTCTCTCTCTCTCTCTCTCTCTCTCTCTCTCTCTCTCTCTCTCTCTTGCTCTCTCTGTTTTCAAAAATTCAATATTTCGAGGGATGGCATGTGTCATCAGCCGTGAATACCAAATCACGCAACAAGATATAGATATTTCAATCTGGTGTGGAGGAACGTCAGTACAAACAACATGTAGAACAACGTATCTAATGTTTGATTATGTAGATCGCGCCCGCGCGGGTGAGAAACGTCGTTTGCGCAAGGCGAGGCTCTCTGTATTTATGTGGTTCTGACACTTGGCACCACCACCACCATCTGGACTACTATTAATATAATAATACCAGCCGTCAGTATCAACAAGCAGCGGTATTTCCTCCTGCGTTCAAGTGCAGACCATACACGAGAAGGAGAGGACAATAGTAGCACCACCGATTTTTGCAGCCTGGCGACCGCGGCAATCTTGCCCTTTGGATTGTACAAAGGCCCTCAACCCACGGTCTCATTGGGCGGATGCATGCAAGCTTAGTGTTATTGTGGAGAAAAACACCCTGCATTTTGTGGACTGGGTGACAGGGTACTACTGACTATATTTACCCGACCGGGGGGGAGATGCCCGCAACTACATGCATAATTCAGACTCAAAACATATATCTGAAACCGTTAAACGGCAAGTAACTGCAAACACTTAATGAAAAAACGGAAACACGAACATATGCTCGGCTAAAGTTCCTACACAAAACCTACAGCCCGTGCTGCGATACCCCACAAAGAAAAAAAAGAGACAAGGGCCTAAAAAACGTTATTGGTACGGGCGTTCACTGCTGCTGTAACGAACCGCATTTCTCCCCTGTGCAGAGGAGGATAGTCTACACCTCTGACGCGACTCGGCGAACGTGTGGCCCAAACCGATGGCCTCAACGTCAGTAAGCAGCCGTAGGCGATCCGCAAACAAACGTGAGATGAGAGTTGGGAGCACAGAATCAGTACACAGGTGCCGCGTTTGAGGACAAAACCGTTTCTTGCCTGGCAAAGCCAACACCCGACGCCGTCGGCACCCCGAGTCAACACTTCGCCCCTCTCCTTGCTCAGCGGACCGTGAATGATAGCAATGGGTCGCTTTGCTTCTCTGATTTCATATCCCCCAAGCTTTGGTTGAATATGTACTGGTCGTACCGCGCAGTCCTTTTTCCCCATGTGTTAAATGACACTTCAGAAACGTCTACGCTGCAAAAAAAGGGGATAAAAAAATGTAGCATGAACACGCTGCTGGCTGTTTGTGACACTGCTGGAAGCCAGCAAATTATTCCGCCCACAACGTGCCACACATGTATCTACCACTGTTGCTTTCTTTTTCCGTACTTTAGATAGCCCCTTATACCGGACCCCTGGTCAAGACCCTGGCAACTCCTATTTACAGCAATAGAAGTAGTTCTAAAACGACCCCGACCTCAAACGCGCATACATACAGGGCAAAACGCTGATAGATTTCGGAGAACAGTGCAAGACCAATGGAAGAAAGCCCGTCCCTGAAGGCCTACAGTAGAACACTACAAAAATAATAAAGCATCTCGCCAAGGACCACCAAAGTTATGTCACTTCCTCACATCGAAATCCACCGGACGGAGCAACAAACAACACACCATTGCGAGCTGGCTTGAAACAGGACGGGATGCAGCCCGAAGAGGCACAACATAAGCCTGAAAGACGTACTTAATAGTATAATATTTCTTTCTGAGGAGCCGGAACTTTGCAATGCTACGTAGCCACCGGGCAGACAATGGTAGACAGACTCTCATGCAAACTACAGCGAAAACTAAGCCTGCAGAATAGAGGACAACAACTGCACGAGGATTCATTGTTTGCTAGAAACGGTACCACCATGTTTCAGCACCGCCGCCGATAATACCGTTAAATTATTGTGCGTGTGATCGCACCCCCGTGTTAGCGTTTTTGTATAGCGTATTTCTCCACAACCAGGAGGGTGTGAACACCAACGAATACCTCTCCGGAAAGCCCTCGACGACATGTTTCCAAAACCACCCTTTTCGGAGGTGATACCTCCCTGGTTGTGGAGAAATACGCTGTACAAAAACGCTTAACACGGGGGTGCCATCTCTCCGACTCTTACGGTGGTCGACAGTCGACAGGTGTTTGAGCATCAAAAAAGTGCCGCTCAACAGCACAACAGCAACAGCAACAGCAACAGCAACAGCAACAACAACAGCACAACTGAACGCTTAACGCGTCCGACACTCAGCATACAATACATGGCAAAAGTAACACCCGTATTTTGCGGCCAATTCACGAAGGCGTTGGGAGTGGATGGAACCCCGGTGCCCTCGTAAAGAAAGAGGACCGACGGATTTACATATTGGCGGGTTTTGCGTCCACGGGCTCCCCATTTTTGTGGACTATAGAGCTAATGTGAGAGAAACAACATATTGGAGGCACCGCGACCGCTACCCCCCCCCCCCGCTAATTTGTTTCGCGCTTTCAGTCCAGTTTGGTCAAGAGGCCCATTGTATAGGATGTAACGCGGTTACAGCAATAACGTGTTTAATACTGTATTGGCCTTAGTATCAGTCTTAAAACCACACTAAATCCTTCCAGGTATGCAATAACAATTGTGTGGGCTTTACATGTAAAACCACACCAAATCCTATACAACAGACGCCCCCCCCCCCCATTTGGTCCTCAATGCAGCTTGGCGTCGTGCTTCCCCAAAAATAAATCCGTAGGCCCTCTTTGACCTCCTACGGTACGAGACGAACCGGTTCGCTCACTTTCTCCCGGTCGCCTTCCACAAGCGACGCCGCGAATCGGGGCAGCATCACGAGCAAGAATCGGCGCAGCATCACAAGACACCAAAGCAGTCCGCTAAACTTCATGGTCGAAATCCTACGTCGGCGACTTCAAACCTTCGCCAGAAAGCGGGTTTCATTGGGGACCATCAGCGGCCCTCGCGTCTCCCTCGGTGTCGGACCTTGGTTCGCTATTTGGTGGCGAAGGGTCGGCTGCTGCCGCCGCCATTTTTCGCGCGTTGTCGCCCCTGGTGCCACTACCGCTGGTGCCCCTACCGGAAGCTTTCTTGGCCTCGGCCATACGGCTCGCCTCCTTGACGAACTCTTCTTCAAACAACTCGTCCGGCCGGGCGTTCCCGCCCACCATCGCCTCCTGCGAGACAAGAAACGTCAGTTAAGGTTTGGGTTTCTAATGGCGGTTGCATGGTTGCGTTCACGGGTGGGAGACCTGCTTTCAGTTGGCCTGTAATTTGCTACGAACAAGATGCGACTAGAAATTCAGGGGCTTGATTGACGACGCAGCACGTGTCACCACCCTTGCCACACCCGTCTTGTTGGGTCGTGTCAGTGTTGTGCCCTCAAGTCTCCACACGAACCTGTCGAGCACTTGCTACCTGGCACACATCCTTGACACCTCTCCCCTTTATCCCACTCCCTCGCGGATCTCCCATTTCCCCATTCCTGGGTCCCTCCACGTACGTGTACCTTTTTGCGTTTCACATGTCAATCGCAATCTATGTCGTCTCTCGCGCAGGCCTCCGCTTCGGCGTACAAACACATTCTAAGTTTGTAACACAAGGACCATTAGGATACAGATAAGATCCTTTGTCAAGGTTCCCCAAAATTCCAAATTTGCCCCAAGCACCTCCTCCTGCCTGCACCCCTCTCTGCCGTACGTACGTACGTACTGGGAGCTCGTACCTCTTTATTTCTGTCGTCTATGGCCCAGTCCCCGAAGCTTTGCCCCGTCAGCCGCGCAAACATCTTCATATCCGACGCAACAAAATTTCGGATCTAACAGACAGACGGAACATACAACAAGAGGGCGAAAAATGGAAACATTATAGAAAAAATGTCTCGACACACAGCGCGTCAGGTGTGGCACGAAATGCCGTTTTTTTTTGTGAGAACCGACGAAATCGGTCTACGAATAGAGGACAGCAGTCGAACGCTGCACTCTTGTTTCAACGTCGTGTGGTTGGTTCTGCCTGGAGCGTTCTGATCAAGACAGTTTGCCAACGTCTTTGTACCAATTTGACGAGTGTCCGACCTGTCAAACTCTCAGTGCTGCAAGTGATTGTTGAGACATGACGTTCACCCGCACGGGAGCATCGTGCACTGCATCGAAGGTGTACAAATACACCGTGCCGTAAAATGTTCCCGTCAAAACGGGCCTCCCTCCACAGCGCTGGCTTTGTCGAATCTCGGAAAGTTACATCCCGATGCACCTCGAGAAAAGAAACTTGGGCGGCCTACAAGAGTTGAAAAAACGTTTTTTTTTTTGTGTGGACCACGCACGGCCGTCTCGCTCCTCGGGTTCTAAACGGATCACGCCCTTTTCGAGCGTTACCAGCCCGGGCAAAACATCCCCTGCCGGCTTGTTCTCCATCCTTACCATCAAGCAATCAATACAATTTGCCAGGCGTTTCTTGGAAACCCGTACCCTTCGAACCTACTACCGCTGAGAGAGTGCTCATGGAGGGAACGGTGAAGGGGGGGAACGCCGAACGCCTGTTGTGTGTATCGACAGGGTCTATCTGTGGGCGCACGGGCACACCCGCGGAATTCGGTCCACGGGAGCTCTGGGGGTGCTGTATTTGGCACCGACGCGCAGAGATCGCTACTCTGTAGGGTCTATACAACTTTCGACCATTGTAGGCGGCAAGACACGCACGGGCATCGCTCGCAGGGTGTGTTTGGGTGCAGAGAGTAGTGAGAGATTAAGAATGTGCCTGCATGCGTCACCGCCGTGTGTGTGGGCCACAGAACACCGAATATATGTGGTACAAACCACGCCCCGTCTCTTCGACGACGTACAACATCAGCACACGGGCATCCCGCAACTATGTCTACGGCGGCAGAACACCGAAGACACGCGGTACACGCCACGGCCCTTCTCTTCGACAACACACAGCATCATCACACGGTCATCCCGCAACTATGTCCCCCCTCGGCGGAACCTCCAAAAGACACGCCTCCGGTCGGCCACACGTCTCACCTCCGTGGCCAGGGCTTCCGGGATCTCCTCCTTGTACGCGCTGTCAAGCCTCCAGCCTGTTCGCTTCTCGAAGTCGGGGTACTTCTTCTCAAGCTCCGCCATGATGGCATCTTGCCCCAGGGAGGGGTACTGGAAGTCCGGGACTCCTGGGTAGGACGCAGGTCCACGATAGCATACACACACAACGCCAAAACACGGAGTCAAGGAATGTCTACCTTCTAACCAAACCCTCGCGGCAAAAATGCCGTCTCAAGTCGACAGGGGCAAGCGACTACGAATTCCAAATGACACGGTTAACAGCAGGCTGCACCACATACGCATTGCATTTGCGAGAAGAAAAGTAATCACGCGGCCAAAAAAATACGAGCGAACGCGAAACCGTTCGTGTCACGCATCACGGCAGAGCATTGTAGTCGCCTGTCGCGGAAACAGGGCCAACTGACTAGTTGGCCCTACATTTTTCCAGCCCACAGTATTGGTGGTGATGGTCACGTTGCGAGAGCCCCGCTGCTGACGATTGCCGCGATGCCAGTCCTTGTGACGCACTATTCTACAACCCCCCACACACTCACAATCGTGCGACACGTCAGGACAGCGTCGCATGACACGACGACAGAAAGAACGCCAGCCGATGCATCCCCCGCACGAACGTGACGGGAAACGACACAGACCGTGAACGGAAGCTTCGAGCTAACCGCAGACACGAAAGCGTGCGCCACGCACATCACACACACCAAGCAGCACAGCGTACAACCCTAAAATCGCAACCCTAGCCGCGTCACGTGGAGACTCAAACACGCTATCTTACACATTTTTTCCCGTCCTTCGAACTATTTTTTCCCGTGCTTTCAGACACCGGCTGTAAAAATCCGCGACCAAACCAACGGCGACAGGCGACAACAACAAACACCAACTTGTTCCTGCAGCTTGCGGCGCAAGCACGGGGCAAGGGACATTAGACCTCCAACAGGAGAATCGACCCGATGGCCACAAAATCATTCGGCGTGGTGAGTGCAGGCGATGGGCGATAGATCACGTGAATGGAGGAGCGTCTCTGCCTCAGTCTCTCGTTTACCCCCTCACCGATGTGCTCGTGCACCCTCGGCAGAACCTCCTCGGGCTTGTCTCGAAGATCATCGCTCTCGATGAACATCACCTGCACACGGCAGAAAACACGCACGCGACAACTCGTGGTCGTGTTCTACGTAGCTAGTGAAACCGCAGCATAAACAAACCAATCAAAGCTCTACCGTCGGCGACGACCACGTTTAGAAAGAAACATAAATATATGACCGATTCAGGCGGTGGTTAGGTCCAGAAATTGGAATGGGCAGAATGAATGAAGACGCCTAATCGAGTCTTGATTCTCGGTTTGAAGTCCGAAAAGCCGTCGGGGGCGAAAAACAAATTGATTACGGTGTTTGCTTCCTGTGGGGTTGGCTGAAAAAGACAGCAGTATGGTCGCCAAGAAGCAAGACACAGCAGGCAGCACTACCTATGAGATCAATTATAAAAAATGGACCAGAGGCTTTCGGTCTTGGTTTCTTGCGGCTGCATTTCGATCGTACGAGGGCAACGCAGCTCGCCGCTGTCAATATCCGCCACCTATGACGTAAACCACCACCAAGAAGATCATGTATTTTGTGTGGTGCAGTGTATTAGAAAGTCGGTATGGTGTATAGGACTTAGTGTGGTACACATAACCCTATACACGTCTTACTGTACTGGCGTACAAAGTGAAACCAAAGCTTACAGAAATAGACTACACTTCAGGTTTATCAATACCACACTAAACCCCACACAATAGATCCCTTGGCCAAAAGTGTGCTCAAAAGAAAAATATGGGCGAGGGGGTGGAGCAGGGCGTCTGAAATCCCGCAACACGGGCCCCCTTCTTGTCGATCCGAAACGTTCGTTCGAGCGAGGTTGAAGTTGGGGCCGCCCACAACGATAACTCCAATCCGGGGGGACGCCCTTCACCTGATTTCGCGGTATGTACTTCAAACAGTGGTACGCCTGGATCCCGTACAAACTCCTGTAGATGTACTGATCCGAAATGCCCGGCGTCACGTTGAAGCACCTGCGGAGGGACGGAAGGAGCGAGGGCGACGCGGACCGGACATCGGTGGCACGACGTCTTAGACCACGGCAAGACACACGCTACTGGGCAGACAGAGCACGGATCGAGACTCGAAAGGGCGCTAGATAGGGCACTCCCGCAGTGTCTACCGCGGCCCCGTGTTGGGAGGGAGGTTGCTTCCACCCGCGCGGAATGGACTTGTTTTCTCGGGGAAGCGAATAAACCGAGCATCAGCACCGGCATGCCCGTGCTGGGTCAACGTAAAACTACCTACTTTTTGAACAGACGTCATCCAATGACACACACCGCGGGTGTGCTTTCGTCACACCTATCCTGTTCTGGGTGCCGGTGCAGACATACTGTCAAGACACCCCTAACCAGATGGCACATCTACCCCAGTCTGGCCGCTAGTCGCGCCTCTCTCATCGGAATGTGCTTTACGTGTTTGTTTTCGTCCCACCTACCGCCACTCTCCCCCTTTTTTCGGTAAATGCTTGCGGAGATGGACCCCCCCCCCCGCCCCTCCCCCCAAAATCTACTATGTCTCACTTGGATAATTCACTGTCTAACGCCTCCGCCGCCGCAGCTGGGTCTGCCTCATCGAGGCCGCTTAGCCCCCCGAGATCGCTCAACGCATTGTTGAAGCAGTGCTTGAGCTTCCTTATCTCCGTCTTCATCACGCTCTCGACCTTTGGTCGTATACATGGAACGAGTGCGGCGCGCGCGCACACACATACACACACGCAAACGCACAACACGAGCGAGAAAATGACGCAGATGAATAGAGGACCAAGTACAGAGAATGACTGCTGTGGTCTGTACGGATGCAAAAAAACAAAAAAAACGTGAGAGGCACACGAAGAGAGAGGGAGGGTTGGAGAAGGGGGGTTCGCGCTTGGGCTTGCTGAAGCTTGCCTACATAGGGCTGCTATTGCCGACGACGACGCTCCCCCCTTGTGGCGGCCCGTCTATCGCACACAACAGCGACGTTTCGAGAGCTTCTCTGACAAGACTTCGGAATTTCACAGAAGTGTGTTTATCACTTCCCGTCCGTTCCCCCCCGACTCACTTATCATTTGGTGCGTGAGTAAGCACGGGAGGAGCAGCATGCGCCCCTGAACTAAACAGCTCGATCGATCACGAGGTCAACACAATACAACCGCGGTGGCTCCGGAACCTTCCTGCGATGAATCATGGGGTACAAAAAGCTGCAAAAAAATAGAACAAGAAGCAAGAGCATGCCGTACGCTAGCAAGACGATCATACAGAGCATCAAGAGCCCCACAAGCCCGCAAATTTCTTTCGGAGCACGACCTGGGGGAACCACCCGCGTTCGGAAAGCCACCCAACGAGAGAAGCTCAAATCATCGCACCAACACCGAGGGAAACCAACACCAACAACGGGCGTACTGGCGGACGTGAAGACAGAGAGGCAGACAATACCAACTCACAGCCACGAAAAGACAGACAGGCAGACACCACCAACTCACAGCCGCAACCCTCTCCATGCGCTGGTAGCAGGTCTCATCGAAGGTCCTCTCGCCGGCCTCCCCCCAGGAACCCCAAACTTCGGGCCACGGCACGTCGGGCAATACCCCTTTCTTGGGCGACAACCGTCTCCCCCAGTGCTCCACCGCCGCCGCATCGCTGCCCCACCCCCCTCGCTCCTCAAGATACGCCCCTACCCCCCCCTCCTCTTCTGTCAGCGCTTCCGCTCCGTACTCGTAATCTCCAGCCCGTCTTCGCTCCTCGGCGTGGTCCCCGACCAAGCCGTCCTCCGCTGCTACCCAGCTTTCACCCCCCCACCTCAAGTCTGCCGGGCCGTACAGGCCGAAGGATTCACCATCGGCAGCGGCGGCGGAAGCAGGTCCCGAGGTGGAGTTCCAGTAGTACTCCGTGACGCCGTCGTGGCCTTGAGCAAAGAGGTCATCCGCCGTCCACCCTCGCTCCTCGTAATACTGCTGCAGGCCTCGATGCTGTACCCCTGGGGGTTCAGTGGGGGGGGTCTTACTCAAGAAACGAACTATTTATATGTTCTCAGCCACTAGGGGGCACTGTAGGTTCTCTGTCGGAGTGGTTAGTTTACCAACGCGTCAAGGCGTACCGCGAGACTGTCATGAACCCTGGTACCGCGAAATCGCCTTCACCGTTGCGTCAACATGACAGCCACAGAAAGTGGTACCTCTCTCTCTCTCTCTTCCATCACGCCCAATAATCCGTCTCTTCCTGTGCTTCTCTCACTTACTCTTGATCTGCCCGTCTCTCTAACGCCCCCAGCTTCCGCGTGGCCAATCGTCTAACGGTTGCGGTACGCAAAACATGAGTACCCCCCCTCCCCCTAAAAAATGTCACCCCCACCTAGCTTCCCGGGGACCCGTCGCGGCTTGCCCGGGGCGCCGCCGAACTTGGGAGGCAAGGGCTTCGTGAATCTCTCCGCGGCATCACCCTTGTCGCCCCAATTAGTAGCGGGGGTTCGGGCCCACCCCCGCCTCCAAGTACCGCCCGGGTAAAGCGTCTGCAGCTTGTCGACCACCGTCTTCAGCGGGAAACACCGGCTCATGTCCTCGCGAAACACCTTGCCGCGATCGAGGGAGTAGAGTGCGTGCGGTGCCGGCGGAGCCGGGGGGGATGGCTGGTTTAGACCTTGTTGCCAAATCCTGGGGGTGTGGTATATTCTAAGTCGTCTGTAGCTTGTTGCTTGGTGGATTGACAAGAGGAGATACCTGGGTCAGTTCTTATTGCCTGTTGTGAGGACAAGAGGGGATACTGCTTGTTGCCAATTGCTGGGGGGTGTCGTTTATCCTAGTTGCTTGGTGGATTGACAAGAGGGAATGCCCGGGTTGGTGCCTGTTGCCACAGTGGGTTATCCGTCGACCTTCACCCCCCCTTCCTAGGCGGGCGAGCACCGCTTGCTCCTGCTCACGGTGGCGACCAAGCCATCACTCGGGTTCCCGCAATGTTAAACGTCATGAAAAAAAAAAAACTGCCTGGATCACCTTCATTCCTCCTGTGCGACACACCCGATGACACCTCAAAATACATACGGACAGGTTTCCACCGGCACCACAATCAATGGGACGAGAACAGACCACCACCACGACGTTAAGCACAAAAAAAAAGAAAAAGCGTAGCGTGCGCCGCTTCCCTGGTTGGCGCTTGAGGAGGGGGGGGTAGGGCCTCGGCGGAGGTGACCAAAACACACTTCGAAATTCGAGGTTCATTTTTTTTTCTTGTTTTTTTCAGCTGTTACAGCGATATTCTACACGCCGCATACAGTACCGCGAGGAAATGGTACTCCCAGAAGCTGTGTGGGGGTGAAGCTCAAGGGCAGCACCGGGCCGAACGCACGGTTGTCATCCGGGCCGGTCATTTGATTTTCAACCGCCCGGGCGTTTCAATTTTTTCATGCTTTTCTCGGGTGATAACACATAGAGCAGCAAGGAAAGACTACCCGTTGGGGACAAAAGTACCCTGGTGTGTTGGTGTCTTTTTCAGCGAGGGTTGGGCGACAATCCCTGCTGGACTACAGTATGCCTAACATACCGGAGTATGCTTCAAGCCTGTACATGAGCTGAGGGCGCAGTGATACACACCAGGTCTGAAGGAAATTACCCATAGCCTCTGCCCCTGAGTGCCGACGAAGGACTAGAGCCGTACGAACACACGTACGATGAGACACAGCAGTGCATGCACCGCTCCCCTACCTCCAAAGCGTACTTGGTGTCCACAGGCTTGTCACTCGATCTCACTCTGTTGGGCAGCTTGCCCCTCACCCTGTCGGTCCGTCGAAAAAGCCGGCAAGACACAACCCCCCGACAGAGGGGGGGCACGCAACAGGCGGCGAACAAAATACCGGAAGGTTATGGTTTCAGTACAGCAACGGGTGCACTTCGCCCGAACTCGCACCCTCTTCAGGCAACGACAAGCCGCGGGGTCAACACTGGCACCTTACAACGCCACAGAGCACGGAAGAGCGTGGTTGATGCGTGGTGACGCCTTGGCCGCGACCATTCTCAAGAAAGACGGCACGATAACGAAGACCACCCCTCCTCCACCACCACCACCACCACCTGCCACCAGCTTCTGGTTAATCCTTGTGAATCGTAGGCTGGGCTGGCGAACACGAACACCCGGCATATCGCTCCGTCCCGGCATTGTAGGGGTGCGAGGCCAATGGCCGAAGGCATGGGTTTACATGAGTACATCCCACCTACCCACCCAACCGCCCTCGTTGTGTGAGAACCCCCTCAAACTCTACTCGGCGAAGCCGACGCCGCTGCGGCGCAACCTCTCCACCAATGCCGTACCAACGTCCTCGCGAGACACGGAAGGAGGTGAAACCTTGGAACTTTCTTGCCACAACCCTGACCCTACCGCAGTCCCTCCCACAAAGGAAACCAAACGAACCACATTGTTTTTGTCCCCTCTCTCACCCCCCTTCCAAACAGTATGCCCAACGAAACAAAATATAGATGAAATGAAGTACAGCATATTTTAAATCTCACTTGCGGATGAAGGGGATCATGACGTCCATCCACTTCCCATGCTGCCCGATCTCTCCCGTGCACTCGCCCATGGCGGGGCTCAAACCCTGGGGCTGGCTCAACAGCGACCTCTCGCTGCACAAACCACAAAAGCAAGCAAGCGAGAACCGACGGCCGCACTACTGTGACTTGTGGAGCAGCAGCAACGGCAAAAGTAAATATACATGCCAGTGACGAGGGTCGAGATGCCACATATCTCGGGGGCGGGGCGGGGGGGGGGGGGGTGTACTCATAGTCGTGCATGCCGTAGTCGTTTGACCATTGACCTCGCATCCCTACAAAGCCGGGACGGAGCACGCCGGGTTCTCACCGGACCAGGCTCTCACATCACCAAGCGCGAAGCGCTGTGAGGTATTTGGCGAGTCGCATGAAGGGTGAGCTGCATCCTGCTAAGGGTGTTCGGCATCTTGTGCTTACTTCCTTGCGTACGGACGACAGCTACGTATGACTTAATTTATTTTCTGGTGCTTTCACTTCCAGAGACAGTTGTAAGCACTGTGTAACTGCCTCGAGGAAGCTTGACCATTTTAACACAACGTGGTGTGACCATCCCCCGTTGCGCGGAGTGAGGGTTCTCGACCCCGCACAACATGATCTACTCGACCACCATTCATGGTTACCGCCAAAAAAAAAAACTGAGGTAAAAAAAAAAAAAGGTAACCATGGTTGCCGAGTTCACGAAGTGGCTTGGCTTGTTTTACAACGTCGTTGCCAAGCGACGAAAACCCAATCCCGATGGCAAAACACCGGGGGGGGGCGGCTTGTTTTACAACGTCGTTGCCAAGCGACGAAAACCCAACCCCGATGGCAGAACACCGCGGGGGGGGCGGGGGATCCAGGCAAGCCAGAACCTACAGCGGTACGGCAGCGGGGGGGGTCTGAAAGCGAACAATCTTCTAGAATATCGGTTCGGTCAGCAGCGGCCGCCGATGTCCTGTGCGTGTCCCATATGCGTGCCCCCCCTCCCCCCCCCCCCGCGTAGTGCCACGCGAAGAGACGTGCAAGTCGCCCGTGCTCACACACGGACCCAGAACAAGGGTTTATGCGCTTTTCGTCACCCAACTGTAGGCCTGGCGCGTTCATCATCTCGGCCAGCCGGTGAAGTTAGCGCGGGTCGATGGCAAACAAGCAGGCCAAAAATATCAGATACGCACACGGAAGGACATTTAGTGACAAGCCGTAGGTTCCGAGAGCCCAACTTCCGAGGGATACAATAAGAAAGGGCCATTAGGAACGGATTGGGACACCCATGTACCCGCGGCGCTTGTAGAGACGGCATGAGCCTTTGAACCACTTGAAACACTAGCGACCTCGCAGGTCATGCCATAGATTCCAACCTCTTGGATCAATCGGACGCGTTTTCGTCGAATACCCCTCCCTTCGCACTAGACAAATCCCAGAATCCTGGGACATCAGGCCGCTTTCTTGTGCCATTATGCCGCTCTAATACACCACGCAAGGCGTTTAATCGCAGGGTGTTGAGGTATCATGCCGTATTCTTGCAGTATCAAACCGCTCTCTTACACTACGCAAAGACATTAAAAACCCCAGATACTCTGAGAAATCAGAAATCAGACCAATTTCTTGCGGCGGCGGGATAACCAACCTCTTCAACACTGTACAAAAACAGAATAGTAATAGTCTTGTGAGAGATCGGACACACTTCTCGGGGGAGGCGGCGCAATACCTTACCTTTCGGAGATGTCTTCCCCGTCCAAGGAGGGGAAGAGCTTCACGGCGCAGTCGTAGATCTTGTTCGCGTGGAGGGGCAGGAGCTCCAACATCTCCCCTTGCTCTTCCACCCGCCGCACCTGTCGTGCGCAGTCATGGCACAACGGGGTGGCGAAACCAGCAACCCTTTTTAGTCTACAACTGGAGCGTAAGCCGTCCTTCGAGACCTGTGAACGCGGGTGCTTTGCCTCCCTTGACCGATGTAACGTCGTTAACGATTCTGCCACACGTGTGGTGCTGCAATGAGTGATTGCGCAATGTTTTAGGGCAGCTGCTGATGATGAAGGCCATTAAAACGAAAACCAAAACATCAACTTTGTAGTGGCAAACCCATGTTCATGAGGACAAACCCATGTTCATGAGAGAGATCAACATGCCCAACAGTACTATGCCAGAGGACGCCTACGTGCCGTAGAACCTCCAAGCATGCCGAAGCCTAAACCCGCGGTTCGTGGGGCGATCATCGGGACACGTTTCAAGCCCGCATCTCGCGTGGGCAGGACGACATTGCACGTTACACCCCCTCCCCCACGTACGTTCACGAAGTAGGACGACATTTTATATCATGTCACACCCCGCATACCTTCATCAACCATCGCCATCGTCGGGACATGCTTCGACCCCACATCCCGTGCGAGTGGGATGGCAACGTCTTACCAGCAAAAAATGGCCGACCCAGAGGGTCTAGTACAAGATCATGCCACCCCCCCATACCCACCCCCATACCTTCATCTGGTGCTCGCTGTAGGCCCGCTTAACAGGATCCCTCACGAGAACCAACAACCGGACGTCCGGAACCTGACCAAAAAGAAACGGCAAGGCGGGGTGGGGGGTGGGGGGGCATTTTCGCGGTAGAGAAGGCGAACATCAACCTCAGCAGCGAAACAAAAGCAAGTTACCAATCTCTGCTGTGTCGGATGTGCGCACTCTCTGATATTGCGGTGGGCAGCACGTTCGGGCAATGGATGCGTCGCAGGGTGCAGAGAAGGCTAGCGGTGGAGCGGCCTTCCCCCTTTGACCGCTGACACGCGCCCCAAGGAGCCCCACAGCCCCTGCACCCCTTTACTGTTCGCTTGTTGTTGTTGTGGGTGAATTAGTGTCTGCGTATAACACCTCAGTGTCGCTGGTCCTTGGGGACGGTGAGGGTGTGTGTGAGAGAGAAGACTCCCCCAATGGTCGCAGGCCAAACACAAACCAACCGCAGAAACATCTCCTTTGTGCTGTTGAAATCGCGACGGATGTTTCACTAGCGACCGGGGTCACCCTCGCGGGGGCTCCGCGAAATCAGGGATACGACACCTCTGCGCCCTCCGTTGCTTGTTGCCAGCACCAACTTCTTCCACTGTTCTGAAGCGCGTTTTCGTGACCCTAACCTCCCTGACCGAATGCCTCGCACTTCTCGCGAGCACCCTCGACATGTACTCACTCGCGAGGTGCATTGTGTGCACGCATGCAGCATCCTTATGGCCGACCGACTATCACGTATGTACGCGGAGCCCACCGGTGGAAACGTGAACACTCTTCACATTTTCCCGCATTTTCTTGCGCATTCCCGCCACTTTTCATCGTATGGATGCACGCTCGATGACTCACAACTGACAAGTTTTATCGCGGGCATTTTCAGACATGAAACCGTCTGCGCGTCTGAAAGTAGACTGCCGTGACTCGCCACGTCTTCCAGAAGCGCGTGCTCATTACAAATTCGCCATGATTTTTGTTAATATGATCACAAAAACACAACAAAAAATGCATCTCCTCGACAGACAGATAAAGAGTCCGGGAACTAATTCATAGTGTTGTATGATGACCATAATCTTGTGCGCACGACCAACAACGGCTTGCCCCGACTCCCACGCGCTATACAGCACCCACCAGTTTTCTCATGTTCATGCAGGCCTTTCGGCTGGCAAGGTAGAACGGCGTCGCCTCGCCCACCACGAACGGCGCTCGGTGTTCCATTGCCTGGGAGGCATTAAAACTGCGGCAACGACAGGGTCGGGCAAAACGAGATGCGGACAGGATGCGGGGCGCAAGTGGTAGTGCTGCTGATTCAAGGCTTGTGGTCGTCGAACTATGCACGTCCAGCGGAAGGGCGGGGTGCGACAGACTGGACTCGTGAGAGGGTTGGATGGCGACCCAGTGGCTGTCGCCTCGTCCTGCCTAGCGTTACCGCATCAATCGTATTCTGACGCTGCCGGACGAGGTTGAGCGGGGATGGACACCCGTGTTGGCAAATGGATGCTCCGCAGCAGTAACCAAGCGCCACCAAAACAAAATTGTACCCTCCCGTAATTCCGACTCCGACCAGCTTGGACGATGACATCCTTGACACGCCAACCCTCAAGGGGGACCACCGGTATGGAAGGCTACCGGAGGGGAGGTTCGCCCCTTCCGGAGTGTCTACCCACACGCCGACCAGTGTGAGCGAGGGGCGTGGGGGGGGGGGGGGGGTCCCGACCATGGGCCTAAAAAGCTCCGTTGTAACCCCTCCGGGCCCGGGTGGGCGACAAACCCCAAAAAAACAGGCCTTGCTGCAGGAAAACGGACCCCCCTTCCCTGCTTCCCTGTTCTTCTTCTGGGAAACCGAAGTACGTCGGAACATGCTCCTTTCCAAACGCACAGTGGAGGACTCCAATTCAGCAGTCCCGACAGCAGTCGGTTGATGTTTCTTCCTACCTTGGAAAGTTGAACGCGTATGACGCCGCGTTGATCTGGTTAGGAGTTTTGTGGTCGAAGAAATGGAGTTCCTTCCGTTCCGCCATCATCACCAGCGGGTGTTTCTCCAGTATGCCTGTCGCGGGTTAAGTTTGATGGTTCATGTTGATGTCGTTGTCAGGTTGGAAATGCCCAACTCTTGTCATTCATGACCGTTGTCGCTGTGTTTCCAGAAAATTTCATGGTGTTGTTTTTTTTTTGCTCAAGTTATTGTGGTTGGTTGTCAGCGCTCTCTTTGATGTCCCTTTCGTTGAGTGCGTTGCTGCCGCTTGAGTCGCCGTCGCTCTTGATGGCGGTGGAAGCGGTACTGCAGCTTCAAATTTTTCGACTCGTGTTGCTGGACGTGTTCATCGTCAGCATCATTGTGCATGATCTTTACGTTGCCATGATCTCGTAGGCACCAGGTCGAGCAAAACGTGTCGCCTGCACACCAGCATTTAGTGGCAGTAGGAGTGTTTTCCGGGAACACCAAACATGTCCAAAAGTAGGAAAATTGTGACAATGGCGACAGTACTGTCGGCGGCCAGCCGACATATACGCACGGGGCAGTATCCTTCTTACTTCGACGATCACACCACAGCCTGCGTCGATATGTACGTCTCGGTCTTGTTTCTTCCTGTACAGTACACAGACTCTGCCAACCCAACAGGAAGGGGGAGCTCTTGTGCCACCGGCCGGCGAAAGAGCCGGTGCTTGCTCTACCTCAACAACCCAAGCTCGGTCATGCTAGGTTGGTTGCCACGACACCCCCATGACGACTCTACAGCAGCTGCAACAACAATACTAACCCCCCCAATCTCTCTCTCTCTCTCTCTCTCTCTCTCTCCTCATCGCCCTACCCCTGTCCCTCGCTTAACCTCTCCCTCTCACCCGTGAGCGCCGTAGTGCCGCTTTTCTGCGTTCCCGCGATAATGAAGCTCGGCAAGCACGCCACCTCGTTCTCCCCGGCCGCCTCCGCTCTCTGCGTCGTTCTCAGCACCCCAGGCAGGGGTTCACCTCCCTCCCCCTCCGCCGCCTCCAGCCCACGCCTCCCTTGCGGCCCGTTGTCTTTGGAATGAGCCTGCTGCTGTGCCGGTGGTTTCTGGGCCGCCTTGCAGCACGTTTGCCCCTTGTCGTGGTAAAGGGGCAAGCCTTCCACCTGGAGGTCGCAGGATGCCGACAAGATTCCATCGATGGAACGCGGAGGGAGATCCCCGGGTTTCCGTAACGCCTCTCTGACGGCGTCCGTTGCCGCCACCCTCGCCTCTTCGATCTCGGAGTCGTTGAGCCCCCTCGAAGCTGCAGACTTTTTCAGAACGACGTCTAACTCCCCCTCGAAAGCGTCTGCCTGTCTGTCGGCCGACTTAGGCTTCAGCCCCCCCTCTGCCGTCGCACGACGACAATAAACGCGGGGAAAAAATTAGACCCGCGACGTAGAGCGCGCGGGGGGGGGTAGATCGAGGGCGAGCTACGACAAGCACACGTGGGGTTTGAGAGCGCGCAGCTTCCATTGTGCGTCTAGGAGTAAGATGGGGGGCACACACAACGCTGAACAGACGCTGTCAAACCTTTTATAACAGCAGGGTCAGTCCTACCGAACCTTGGCACGTCTGGTTCCGTAGATCGAAGGAAGGGAAGAGTCGATCTACCTGCCAATCGTGGGGTAACCAAGTACACACCGAACCAAACAGAGACATAAAACGTCGCCTCCCGAGGCCCTCGCTGGCGGCGGGGTACCTCCGCCTCCCCCACCCCGGACGCCGTACGCGCAGGAACATGAGTAAGAGGCGGTAGAGACGGCACCCCCGTTATAGAGACAAATTTCAAAGCGCGATTGCTCCAAAACCAAGCTTGTGGCAATACCAACAACGGTGGTTTGGGAATCATCATATCGAGGGCTTTCTGTATAGACAGACGTATGGGGGTCTTTCCGCAGCCGCTTGGTTGTGGAGCTATCGAGCGTTGAAAGTCGGCCTAGGCGGGGGTGCCATCTCTACGCCTCATACGGATACATATTCGCTTGTGCCAACACCCATAATGGTGGTTTTGGAAACATCTCGTCGACGGCTTTCCGTATAGACGTATCGGGTCCTTTCCCCACCCACGTGGAGCAATCGAGCTTTGAAAGTCGGGGTGCCATCTCTCCGCCTCCTACGGTACTGGCACAAAAAAGTACACGCCTTGCTTACCGCGGCCGGAGGCGTTCGGAGTCATGCCATGCTGGGCTTCGTCTGAGGAAGAGCTAGGCTGAATGTCTAGCCCGCCGCCCCCTACCCACATGAGAACTCCCAGCAAGACACAGAGAGTCACCACCAACGCCACCTGCTGGAATGAGGGCCGCCCCGCGGGAACGGAGGTAGACAACGCTTGTAAAATACACGGCACGCTTCCGCGCTGGTCAGTTAGCCGCATGGCTCTGAGTGGAGAAGGGCAAGGGGAGGGAGGTAACTGCTAACGAATCGGTCAAGCGTGCGTGGTCGGCGTAGGGCAGCTGTTGCCACCAGGAATTGCTCATTGATATATACGGTCTTGACAGACGCCCCAACACGAGGACGGTCGTTCGACGTTGCTGCCTCTGTCTTGTCTCGAGAGAACAATGTCAAACAGACTACGATACAAATGGGTTTGATTTTCTACACTACAAGTATCTAAACCCGACTCTTACCTGTGGAAGAAGTGAATTATTTGTTGTGTTTTTTGTAAACAGAAACAACGAAAATAACGTTTATTTCTGATTCACGAGTGGCCATGCACTGTCGAAACGTGAAACCGCTAAATGGGACGAACACACAACTGGGTTAGTCGCAAAGCCCGCGTTGTGAGGGAGAGAGGGCGATCGCTGAAGGGCTCGCAGCAATGTATTTTCGTAATTTCGTATCAGATGAAGTGTGGATGGGCTATGTAGGTTCGCCTTTTGAAGTGGCGGTTTCGTTGAGAGGCTGACACTTGAAGGCAGGGGATACGCATTCCCTTATCGGGCACTACTGCCGTACTGCTGGGTGTTGCGTGTGGATCCATGGACTCCATGGACACCACGGAATATAGCTGTTGGTACCAAGCGTAGGTTCGCGTATGCATACATAGGTCACGGTGCCGCAGACAGCTGTACATGAAGTAAGAACCAATCGCTACAGGACCAGCAATGCATGAAATATACATCTGCATCATCGTGTGTGTGTGGATGAGGCGTGCAGCAGCAGCATACACACGCACACACAACCCAACCTCTCCAAGCATTTCGCTCTGTGCGGTGTATCAACGAACTCACTTTGTTCCGCCATCGTCTCGATTCTAGCGGCACAACTCGGATGGGATGCTCATCAGGGCTCATCCTGGGCGTGTGGGAACTTAAATTAGGCCTCGGTGCGTCCGATTTGCCACGGCTTCTCATCGAGCACGGGCCTTCTCTGTCTCTCCTCTGGCTGTGGGGCGACCAGCCTTTGGTACTTGGCCATTTGTTCCCAGGGACGCCAAAGGGGGGGCACCGCAGATGTTAGTAGTTCGGCGAGGGGATGTGCCGGAGCGGATGAACGCGAAGCAAAAATATGGCTGATGGGCGGAAAACAAAACACACAACAGCGATCGGCGTCAAAGGTAGTGCGTTCTGTAGACTACCGGGGCGACTGGCCTTGCATGCGCAACGATACGTGAACACTTTGGGCAGAAAAAAGTGACAGCCGGCCTCCCCTGGCAATTCCGCCGCATAATAAAAAAAAAACACTCCGCAGTTGGCAACCACAGGCACGCTGTGGGTTCGCTCACACATCACGCGTGTCCGCAGTGCGCATCCCACCGGCCGTGCTCTTGTCACTGTCGGCGGCACTCCGAAAGCAACAAATGGCTGATATTTCCGAGACACTCCTGGCAGAGGATGCGGGCGCCGCGAATCAAGCCCGCGGCGCTTGTTGCCACCAGCGATGCCTCGTGCCGGAAGATTCTCCGTTCGACTGCCTCGCCATCACGGCACCCAACCCGAGAGCTGCCAAGGCGTACCTCGACGAGCTCGTGCACAGGGTGGGCGTGAACGGGACAGAAGGAACGAAGGAGGTGCTGATTCTGGCCGTGTCTGATCCCGAAGGAGTGAGGATCGGCTCTGGAGGCGGTACTCTGAACGCTGTGCTGGAGGTGGGTGCGAGGAAAGTTGATGTCTTCATGCAGTGGAATTGTTCTTCATGAAAGGTACATTCGATTTTTGTTCAGCCGGATGATGGATCTACAGCAGCTGTAGGTCAACTCTTGCTCCCACATTCTCCTGTAGTCTCCCACACATGTAATCCTGCATGTGCAGTGGGGTGCTCTTGCACGAATGCGAGGGTAGGTTTTTTCCTTTTCTTGGTGTCTCGCGTGTCTTTTGTACCAGCCCTCTTCCACGTGTGGACACCGCAATTCGGCAGAAAGGGCCCTCAGCCCTCAGTCGGCCGGTTCGGGCGAGCACAGACTGAATCGCCCAAGTCGTTCAGTACTTTGAATAGTGCCGGTCCCTCTGAATAGTGCCGGTATACTGGTCTGGTCCATACCGCACTACTGAGCCCCCCCCGCTATATTCGAATAGGGGCGGCCTAGGTCGGTGTGCATTTTTTACGCACGACATGGCACGCTGGAAAGCCCATACTGGTAAGCACCTGTGCACATGCGTTGGTATGGACATGTAAGCGAGACCTGCGAAGCACAATTGCAAGGTACCAGCTGAACGGGAAGTTGGTTGTTATTTCAGCAGTTCACACGGTCTACGTTCGCTGCTCGATTTCGAACGACGATAGAGAGACCGCTGAACGTACACGGGGATGGTTGCAAGGATAGGTTTGGTAGGGTATGCAAAACTCGCGTATCCGGGTTGCACTCGGGTATTACCTGTACCCGAGCATTGGGAAACTTTGGTATGACATACCCTGCCCAAAAACTGGGTAACATGTATAGCCAATAAAGCTACCCGACCCGAGGTATGGGTATACTCTACCAAACCTATCCTAGGATAGTTGCAACATCAACTATCTTCTCTAAGTGACGCGAAATGATTGTGGCATCATCACAATAAAGAGATGGACACCGGATGAAAAAAAATACCGGAATACGATAACCGGACCAGAGGCGTTTTTCCGAAAACGTAATACCGAAATGAGAACCGGTTTTCATCAAAATCCGAAACACGCCTGCAGGGTTTCCAAGCAAGCGCCAAAACCATTTTTTTGTGACCAGGGGTGTGCATTCTCAGTCCATCATCACAAATCCTGTTTTGAACCCAGCTGGTGCGTCCAAACACACCGAAAGAACCCCCCGCCCCCCCCCCCCCCCGACAAAACCGGCGTCCACAATTGATGGGACCACAACTACCAACGTACACATACACATTGCAGATCCACCAAGCTCTCCGGGCGGCGCAGCTGTCCAACGATAACCAAGACCCCCAGGGCTTGGCCGCCGCGCGCGTCCTCCTCGTGCACAGCGGTGGCGACAGCCAGAGGTCCCCAACGCAATGCGTCTGTGGCAAGGCGTGGTCCGCCCTCAACAGCTGCGGAGACAGCGGCAGCGGCAGGTGCAACACCCCGATGGACCTGCTGCTCGAGCACCTGAGCCGCCTGTTCTCCGGAGGTTCGTCCGGGAGTTTGGAACCCGGAACGCTGGTCGTTACTGCGTGTGACGTCATGCTGCTGGTTCCTCCCGAGGTGGCGGCCACCGCCGACTGGTCGTTCGACCAACAGAGCGGCGCCGCCGGGGGCGTGGCCGGTTTGGCGATCGCTGCGGATGCGGCGAAATACGCCTCCAACCACGGCGTGTACTGCCTGGACGGGGGCGGCGGCGGTGGGGGGCAGGAGAGCCACGGCATCACGGGGGTCAGGAAGTGAGCTCTCCTTTTAGTTGAAAGGCTTGTCAGCCGGGTGCCAGCATTGTTTCCGGCGTGCTGCTGTGATCTTGAATACGTGCTCGCACGGTTGCTTTTTCGAACTTCGAGCTCCCCCGCCCGGGCACTAGGAGTTGTTTCCCCTTCTGCTGTGAATCTATTGGGTCGCTATAGACGGGAGCCCGACGTACTCCTTCATTGGTTCACGGGATATGGGTAGTTGCCTGTCTGCTGTGCTGACGCCCGTTGTTGATTCTCTGGAGCATCTTGTTTTCTGTGGATTCTACGTCCATTCGTGCCACCTCTTCGGGTACTGCTGTACACTTCGGCTGACCACGGAAAGCGTCCGCTTCAGTTGGACCAGTACCGGTGGTCGAAGGTTTTTAACCTACACATGAGGGACGAACCCTGGCCCAACCCGCAACCTACACACCGCGTCCGCAATGAAGACCGTGCCGCGATTCCCTCCACAGCAACTCTGCCTCCGTACCGCGCGCCACCGCCAACGACGAATCCCCACCCACCAGGTACCTCCAGAAACCCTCCCGGGAGGAGGCAGAGGCGTCCGGAGCCTTCCTCAACCCCGGCGGCATGGCGGCGCCAAAGAACGAGTCTGGAAATCCCAACCACGATCCTAGTGCCAACCCGGAGGTCGCCATCGACTCGGGCGTCGTGGTGTTCTCGGGAGCGGCCACGCGGGCTCTGACGAGCCTTGCGCACTCGGAGACGTTCAAGGGGTGCACCTCGCGTGGTGTGGCCGGGGGGGCTTCCGCGCTGAGGTTGGAGCTGTATTCGGACCTGCTGCTGGCGCTCAGGACGGGAGGGGGTACCGGAGAGAGCGCCGAAGGTGCTTACCGCTGGCGCGTGGATTCATGCCGCTCAGGCCACGCGATTCAGTCAATATCCTTAAAACAACAACCACCCAGTAGCTGATTGGTTGAGGAATTGTTCCGAAAAGGCGTGGTCGTCGGCTTTAGCAGGGATCAGTGGAAGAGACCTAACGTAGAAGCTGCGTTTTTTCTAACCCAGCGGGGTTGATGGAGATTCGCTCACCCCAATTTTATCGCATGCTCTGAAGGAGCTCCTGAGACGTTGTTGCAGAGGCTGTCGAACACGTCTACTCCTAGATACTCTCACGGTTTGTCACGGAAGTCATTTTCTTTTGGGCCTGCCCTCCTTCCAGTTATGTTGTCCCGCTATTGATGATGCCGAGCTGCTACAACGCTTCCCATGCAACCCCCGCGTGTTGATGCTCTACAAGCAGGGACGCTTGACGCCTATCTCGAAGCGTGCGGCCACGTCCTCCCTCCCGACCACGACGTCTCCAAGGCTAGGCGGGAGATCTGGGACGCCCTGAGCGGGTTCCCTCTGGGCGCCCTGCTTCTCCAAGGTGCAACGTTCGTGCACCTGGGCACTACCCCAGAGCTGATGGAGATGTTGACGCTCCGACTGCCGGAGTTCATCGAGCCATACGGTTTGACTGCCAGGTACAGTAGGGTCGTTTTGCTGCGTTCCGACCCGTCGTGGCTTGCGCGGATGCGTCTGTGCGGTGCTGCTTGTGACATGTTTTGGTCGCTTTGTGGGCGGTGAGGCCGATGTCGACGCCTTGCCGCAGTTCACATGCGCCATGTTTGGCTGCCCATGTGTACACGCCACGGTTTCTCGTTGTACTGCGGACTCCGGGCTCGCCATTCATGGATGGTGGTGGTTAAAGCGGATGGTTTCGGCAGATGGTCTCGCGAAAGACCCAACACGGACAGGTTTGTCGATGCCGAAGGTGCTCACCATTGGACACAAACGGTACTGCCCGCAAACAACGACAAAGGATTCGTTCTCTCGTGCGTGCTCGAGTTTCACCAACAAACAGCCAGCGGAGCCGTGATGCAGGCATCATAGGATTGCGGGCTGTGGGTGTAGTCCCCAGTTGGGGGAGCCCTGCCGGTGCATTTCGTCCAAGGAGCGTTGGTAGTAACACCCGAAAAAGTGCCGGTTCGAGCGCACTCTTTTGGTGGGCTACCCACATTCTTCGAAAATCGTTATTTAGCTGTTTGGTCTTTGGTGACGGTGATGGCATGCCGCACATTATACTTGTTGGCAGTGCCCCTTGGTGACGGCGGCGGCATGTCCCGCGAACACTTGCTGGCAGCTCTCCTCGACACGTTTCTCTGATCGCGGGAGCCACCTGTGCTGGGCTGCATCAGCAATGAATCGTTGGTTTTCAGGTGCCGCGGCTGGCTTCCTTCTGAAAACATGTCGCCTCCACATCAAATTTACAAGACCTTAACAGAAAAGGGCCTTCGCTCGTCTTCCTCCCCGTATTGGTTGTGGCTGCAGGGCGTCCAGCGTGGTGGGCGCTGCCTGCTCGGTGGAGAACGACCCCCCAGCGGTGGTGGTGAACAGCAGCCTACACGGGGCCGGCGTGGTCGCAGGCGGGGCAGTGGTTGAGCACTGGTGGGTGTGGCCGGGCGTGTTTCGTAGGTTGACTTTTTTTTTTAATGTCAGGGTCCGCGTGCTCTCTGGCGGGGTTCGTTTTTTGTGCATGTGTTTTGGGGATGTTACGTTTGGGGCTCGAAGCGATCGACCATGTCTAGGTTGTGGCGATTTCAAGCGGTGTCCCGGAGACTCTATTAATAGTTGTGTGGATGTTGTCCACGTCGAAGTGCCCAGTGTTCAAGTCGGTGATTTTGCGGCTCTCGGGACGAGAGCCGGGAACTCAGGCCAATTTCCGCTGACCGACGTCCTCACCCTGTCCAGGTATCGATACCTGTTATTCTTAGCGTCTCTGCCCTCCTCGCTGAGCTCACTACAGTTGCATCAGCACTCTTGATCATGACTGCAACCTACGGCCTTCGTCGCGACGTACAAAAGCGTGGCTTAAGACGCAGTGCGCCCTTTTCCCGTTGTTTCGCTCTGCCTTCTGAATACTGCCCGTCACGAAATGCAGCTATTTCGACAGAGACGGCTGGGAGGTTGGTGCAGGAAGCCTCATCAGCGGAATCCGTTCTCTCGAGGAAGGCAAGACTAGGGCAGTGTCAGTGTTTTGAAGTCTTGTACCCCCAGTAAATCGTGTCGTTTGATGTGCACGGAAGGTTTTGGTATTGCGGTCTAAACCGACGGGTGTTTTTGAACAGTTTACTACGTGTTTGGAGATGCGCTTGGCCGCAAAGTACTGTTCGCGGCAGCGGTGCGCTTTCATGGTATCATCTCTGCTTTGTAGTTTGTCCTTATTTCGTGCAATGAGGGTGCCCGCTTTGCACAACCGCAATACCTCCTGTTTGCACTCTCGATCCGTTAGTCTGTAAACCACAGCGTTCAGTCGAGAAATTTTACCTCGGGACCACCGTGTATGTGCCCTTTCGATATTTCAAGGCCGGGCAAACGATGCAGCATGTAAAATCATTCGTCGGTCGAGGAACCCCCCCCGCCTGGCGTCCTCGCAGTTTTCATACAATATCGTACACCCCCCTACCGTATTCAAATATCAGATTGCCATCTGCGTCTTCGAGGCGGCATGTGTCTCCAGCAGACCGACCTCGACCGCGCCTCCCCTGAGGAGACGGCGTCGAGGTTCGTGGTCAGCCTGTTCGGCGCGAGGGACGACATCAAGGCGCACTACTCGGCCGACAGGGCGAGGGTTTGCGGCGCAACCTGGGAGGCGTTCTTCGGTTACACCGGCGCGACCGCGGAGGATGTGTGGGGTGGGATCGAGGAGGGCGACCGCAAGCTGTGGTCGGTGAGCGTTGCTGCTGCTGTGTGCGGAGAACATTATAGGCGTTTAGTTTTTTCTGGCTGCAGTGTCGAGAATAGGTTGGTTTTTCTCTGTGTCTCGGCTGGGACGAATCGCGGTTGGATCATGACTCTGCTGTGGTGAAACAATGTCGTAGCCACTCTCTCGGGGAGCCTCTCTTTAGGGGTACGTGGCGGCGCGGTGGAGTGTTGACCAGGGTGGGAGGGGTTACGTGAGATGACGTTTGTCTGCGAGACGGAAAATGCTCACAAACGACGGCAGCGGATGCGGGCGGGATAGAAACATCTCAGGAAAGTTCCCCAGATGTGTTTGGGAGGTTTGTTTTAGATCCGTTTGAGTAGGATTTGGGACTGAACGAAGATGGACCCATGGCTGAATGCGAAGGCTACTCCAGAAAACGCACAACATAGCCGGCAATTTTCTTCTCCGTTTTGCATTTGCTCTTCGTTCTGTTCACACGTGGACACCAATACGGGTCTCTTCCCTGGATGGGTCAGGCGCGCCTGTTTCCCGTCCTAACCCGCAGCCAAGGCCAAGCCGCGGGTACCTCGTCCACAAGCATCAACACGGTCATGTGGATGCAGGACGTCCAGGAACACGCCGCTGCCGCGGCCGTCACCACCGCATGCTCTTCTTCATCGCCCCCCGGCGGCGACGTTTCTTCACCCCCGATCTCCGGAGATCGAGGTGGCGGGATCGCCGCGACCAAGCCGGTGGCGGTGAAGAACTGGCTGGCGGCCGAGCGGCTTTCCTTCAAGGAGATACTCGCGAAGGCGGACCCTGGAGCGGAGTTCCGATGGAGGAGGGATCTCGAGGAGGGCATAGCAGCAAAGGTTCCCGCTGCTGGTACACAGGCGGTGGCGCCGGTGGGGAGCGGGAGGTAGGCGCGTGGGTGGGGATTGTTTTTTGTTGCCTCCTTTCTCTTTCTCCGCGTACGTTTTTCTCTGTTGGCACGTCCTCCCCTTTCTTTCTGTCCACCTTTTTTTAGAGCCCTCTTCGGAAAGTGGAAGACGAGAGGGGGGACTTGACCCGACCGCGAAATAACCTCTTTCGGGCACGAAGTGACGGCGTAGGGGGGGGTTGGCCAGTTATGACTTTTCTGAGATTGTTCGGAAACTTTGATTTGCGACATAGCGGAAAGTTATCGGGGTTTCGGCAACTTCCCGTGTTCGCACGCCGTCCCCGCATGCTTGCGTCATATCCGGAGTCTTGACTGTTCTGTTAATGCGTCTGTGGAGCAGTCGCATGCAAGCTCTGGCTGCTCTTGTTGGGTCTGTGTTGGCAGTCCCTACCCCCAAGGAGTGTGTGGTACCTCTACTCTAGCTGTTGTTTTATCGCGTCAGGTTGATATTTTGTTTTGCGCCAGGCTTGAGGCTTCTTCTGTTTCTTCCGCCCGTGGTCGTGCGCCTTGCCTGAACCTTGGCCGCGTAAGCATTAGTCCCTTCTTTTGTTTTGCAATGCACACCGAGAAAAACCCGCGTGATCCTGGACTTGGTTTGAGTCTATTTTATGCGGAAATGGTTGTGTGTTGCTTGGTTGCTCAGACGTATCTACACGTTGTTTCTCCGCCGGTGCCTTGTCCTTGTCGGAGCAACACCTGTGTTCGGTTGCCTATGTAACGTTTTGGTCCTCCCTGTCCATGATTCATGGTGTTGGCGTCTCTAGCGAACCTGCGGTATTGTTCTTGTTGATGGTGTGGGTGTCATTCTCCCCGCAGCTTGTTCGCCTGCGGTTCTCGCGATTCTTGCATCGGTTGCTTGCGTTTCGCTGTGTTTTCTCGAGGTGGGCATCAAGTGAACGAACGCTACTCATATCTGTTTATTTGTTAATTGTACGCTATTTGCGAGTGAAGATACTGCGTAGGCAGTCAGGCAAGGAGTGCGAGCTGTTACGAATCTAATCGAAGCTTCGTGTGGGCCTGCCGTTTTGCGCAAGGTTTAAGTTGAGAGGTTTGTCTGGACGACGTTTTCTTCCTACTGCCATTGGCTACGCACACTGAGATGGACGTGTTGAATGGACAATGATTATGTTGAGGCTTTTGTGTAGTATTCCCCTGTCCTGGCGGGGCCCTCTTCTGGTCCTCTCATGTCGTCGGTGCCGTTTGAAGCCCTAAGCCTTCCTTTGATGTCCCACTGGCTGCTTTGAATGAAGACGATGTGGTGGGTGGTAGCAACGGCGACGACGAGGCCTGGCTTCCCACCCGCTGTTCCGTGACAGACGCCTGTGATACGAAATGCGATTCACAGCCGATATACTTTTGGAGGGTGGGTTTCACTTTTCTTTTGGTTTTGATACGGCACGGCCGCAGAATTGCTATGGTGCACAATCGTCGCGGCGAGATATTGTTCATAGGGGTTGGTCACGTCCCTGAAGTTTTAGGTACAAGTCGTGGGACCTGCGTCGTTAAACAAAACTTGCGTCTTGTCGGCTTCAAGCTCAGGCTTCGAGCTCGCAGATTGCAGAATAGTGTGAGACAAGCTCGTATTTTTCGGCCGGATGACGTTTCTCCTAGCAGGTTAGGCTGACGGGGTTAGTCGCCGACTTTGTGGACCTCGTAATCGGGCTGATCTGCATGTCGTGGATGCTACAGTGTGCTCAGGGTGTTTGTGTGACCAAATGTGTGATGCGTCTACGTGGGGTGGGGAGAATTTGGATGCAGATCGGTCGTTAGAACCGATGGCTACGATGCTACCCGACGTCCCCACTCCGTTGATTTATCCACCAGGGCCAGGCTAGCTTGAACAACATTTGGGATCCTTTTGTGGTTCGCTGAAAGGAGCTCGCTTAAGGTTGCCCCGAATCGTTGGCAGTCGGACTTTGTCGTGGCTGCCTTTACAGCTGTCCTGCCGCTGCTCAGACCAGTTTTGACAACTCAGTTGCCGGTTGTAGTATTTGCTAGCGTTTCTGACTAGAGTTGGAGGTTGGCTACGTCTGCTTAACCGGGACACACGGTCCAATTTGCAGCGGGTTCGTTTGATACCGAACCCCTAACCTTAGGGTTGAACGAATGGATCATTTCACAGAGAACACCCATTGATTGTCGCTCCCCCCGCACCCCCCACTCCCCCCGGCTGAGGTTTTCGTCAATGGACCCTCTTTGGAAAATTCAGAACCTTACGTCTATCTTGCACCCCCCCTCCCTGTCTTTCAACGTTTTGAGTTTGTTTTTCTCGAACGGGTGCATCGGTTTGACAAGGAGCAGCCCTCCCCACCCTCGCTGCTTCCTCTCTCTCGCGCCTCGCAAGCAGGGGTCGGGCGTGGGATGCAGTCGCGGTCGTCGCCCCCGCTTTGAGCCACGTCCCCGAGGCGCGTCGGTGGCTAGACTCCCTCGCAGGTTGGCGACAACATCCTGGAATGTCTTGCCCTATTTCCTTAGTTTGGAGTCCCGAGGAAAAGCCAGCCATGAACCTGTATTGTCAGACCCCCCGACGGGGAGGCGGAGGCAGGGATGCGTAACTCCACTGCGAAACTTTGGATTGTTCTTCAATTGATTGCGCCATTTCGTTATTTTTATTCGCTGCTCTCCTAGCGCAGTCCCCCGCCCTGCTGGTGTTTGGCGGTGTGTGCTGTAGTCTGCTCATGGTGCCGGCTCCCGTCATTTTGCTTCCTCTCTTCTCGAAAAACTTTGTCGCATGTTATTCCCGCCGATTGAGAATTACCGAGAAAACAGCGACAGCAACAACAACAACAACAATCGCCCCGTCGCCTGGGGGCGATAAACCGTGCATGCTTCGACTGGGCACGCGCGCAGACATGCGAAATTGATCGAGGGAAAACAAAACCCCCACGTAGAGTAACGCAAGGGCAACACCTCCAGCCCAGGCACCCCGATTCTCTCAGAGCTTGGGGTGCCTGGGCTGGGGGTTTCGCCCGTGCGTTACCCTACGCGTTTTTTTTTTCCCCTTGATCAACTTCGGATGTCTACGTGCGTGCCCAGGTGAAGCGTGCACGGTTAAACGCCCCCAGACGACATGACAATATATGCTGTGGTTGTTGTCTTCACGGTAAAGTCAGTCGGCGGGAACAATACGCGACAAGCAAAATGACGGGAGCCGGCAGCAAGTTCAGGCTACTGTACACACCACCAAAAACTGCCCACCTATGCATGTCAAACCACAGTTTCCATACTAAATCTGCTTCCCGCCTGTTTCAATCCAGGACGGGGGGGCATGGCGGCGTTCTGCGTGCCCCCGCCTCGCCCGTGTGACACCCCTGACCGGCAGTTGGATCGGGACGGCCCCATCGTCCTCAACGCCCTCTTGGTGGTTGCGGAGCGTTACAGCGCTCTCAAGAGGGCGCGGTTCGGGTCAGACACCAGCGCCGAGGCACTGAGGGGCATGTGCGTGCTGCTGTGCTTGGCGGGGGCTGCCGAGGAGAAAGATTGGGACAAAATCGTCGAAGAAGGGGTGCCGGGAGCGTGTGATCTTGATTGCGGTGTGCAAGGTGAGACAATGAAGGTTTCGGCGGTTTCGGATCGCACGAAGGTGGATTCCGGTAGAGAGACGCCGAAGTCGTCTATCGTCAAGCTGTGGCCCACAAGAACAGATGCTTAACCCAGTGGACGTTTGCTTCGATCGACCGATGCCATGTGCCGCTAGTTTTAAAACCTGCTCTGCTTTCGATGGGCTCTCCCCTCCAACACATAAACACGCCTTCTTCGTGATAATGGTACTTTCGTTTTCTGGAACGCTTTGCCGTTGCCGTTTCCAGCCGGCGTGTGGGTGCTCCAGCGGGACGGAACCATGTTCTTCGTTCGTGAGGAGTCCCTTGCTCCGCTTCTCGAGCTGCCCCAGAGGTGAGAGATGCGTGATGTTTGCTGCACCTTCGTTTTCCGCAATGAGATTCGCCTGGAGCTTGCTCACGGAAGAAGGAGCACTTGTCTTTCTAGAGGTTCGTTGTTTTGAGTTTTTCCGAGCGTTGACCAACTTGCTCTTTCTTTTCCTGCATTCACCGTCCGCCGTACCTGTTGACGTGTGAAGCGAGACCGACGCTGGTGATTGGGGCAGTATTCTTTTTTTTCTTTGTTACCTAAGAGCAATGCGCACATGCGAGATAATTTTCCAACCTCGCGGAATCAAACGTGGCCGGCCAAACCCGGTGGTTCGCCGGTGCAACACGGCATGAAGTTGCGGGAGCATTACTCGGGTCTTGGCCACGTACAAGCCCCAATCAAAGCATCTCGCGCGCACCGTTCCCTCTCCTTCAGTGGATTCGGATCGGCACAAAGGCATTTTCCCCCCGTTGACTATGCCTTCGTTTGCTGTTGGCGTTACAACCCTCCCCGGTCGTGACCGACGTCAACCCCCTTTTAAATATCTGCCTGAACGCGAGAATAGGCCATACCTGTATAAGTGTTGGGGGGTGGAACAACCGCACATCGACCTTCTAACACTCGCGGATGCGCCCGTCCGCACTGCCGCATCGACTTTTCCTCTTCCCTATCGTCCCCGACAATATCAACGCTGCAGATCGTCTCAGTACCAGGGCTTGACGTACCTGGACGTAGACAACGCCATCCCTGTTCCGGAAACTGTACCTTCGGGGTCTCCGACTGGTGCAACGAGCGCGCTAGAGTTTCTGGCCGAAGCAGCGGCAACAGCGCGCAGTTCCCCGCCGGAACCAGTACAGCGATCGTCCGCGATAGAGCCGCGCTCACGCGTCCGCAGCGGTGACCTCCGTCCCGACCACGCTGCTGCTTCTCCTGCTTCCGCTGGTACTGCTGCCGCTGTTACTTCTGCCCTTGCGGATCTGACGGAGTTGGACGAAAGGGCGAAGGATGAGGCGTGTACCCCGGCAGGGGCGGCGCAAGCACTGGCGAGGGTGGCGTGCCGTCTTTACGAGCTGGCGGACACTCTCGGAGGTGAGCCCGCACGAAAATATAGCATGCATCCAATTTTGGGCTGGAGTAGCCATTGCGACAGTCGCCACAATTTTCTCTGTCGCCGTCGCCGTTACAATATGCGCTCACCATGAGTTAGGAAGGAGGTGGCTCGCGCTTGTGGTTCTCAAAGCATTTTAGTGGCCTGACCGCAAGTATACTGTAGTCGTTCCCACAAACCTAACCCTATCCCTATTCTGACAGGGCTCAGTGATGTGGTGGGTACGACTTTCACGTGAGGAACCGCAGGTTTTGTTTTTTCGATTTTTTCGCGGAGTTCTTTACCAAAGGCTCTACTGTAGGACGAAGCCGGAATATTAGTGAGTTCGTGACATGAGAGGCCGGCTGCGACAGACACACTTGCCTCGTTCCTTTTGACAAGTGATCTCTGAACAAGGTTTCAATTACATAGAGGTACGTCGCGTACCGTATTCCACGCAAGTCAAAGCCCCTGGCGACCGCAGAGTTTTGCCCTTTACAATATCGTCAACTGTTGTGGTATCTGTGGTGGGGGTGATATTTTCTGTGACCCTGTTCTTAATCTGAGCATGTGTTTTTGTTTGGGCTAGTGTGGAGCCGCAAAATAATATCACTTGGTGTGGTATTCTATGAGAGGGGTTGTGGTATCTCGAGCGCTTGTGGTATCCCTTGCGGGGGTGGTTGTTGTTTGTTTTTTTGTTTGTTTGTTTTTCTTCACATTAAACTCGTGTCAGTTGCTAATCCCAAAATCTAGCAAAGACTCGGCCCGTGGTCACAAAAATGCTAAAGCCATCAGAAGATCTAAAGAACACGCACACTATTAGCAAGAAAAGGGTACACAAGCCCGAGGAGGTACACCTACAATCCCTGCAGCACGTTTGCGTGCTCACAACTGAACTACACGCCCACACACTACAATTCGACTACAGCAGGCGGCATCACCCCCCTTGTCCCGCACTTCACCAAAATGAATGTTTGTCGACTACAGCGTACTGCTGTCTGAAGTGCTGTCTGTACAAAAATAACGCCATGGTGTATGGTACACAACAAGCTCGGGGCATGCAGCTGCTGTCTGAAGTGCTGTCAGAATGGTCCCGGGACATACAATGAAGAAGAACAACCAACCAAAGCCATCATTGCAATTGACAATCGCCCGAATCTATCCAGATCATCTGTGTTAGACACAGCAGTGTAAACATCGGCACTGACTAGGAATCGTTCCACATTGAAGGGGTCTTCCACGATGCAGGTACACAATTAAGGCACCCGGGTTATCCGCGCCATCTCTGCCGCGTCTCTCTACAAAACCAGTGACGTCATTACACACACCTAACACCTATATTCAGGAAAAAAAAAAAGGAAAATAATTGACAACACAAGAGATGTTTGTCCGTGCGACACGGTTCGATGCCGTCCGCATGCTCCGGTTCCGCTGCTGCTCCGGTGCCGCTGCTCCGGTGCCGCTTCTCCGGTGTCGCTGTGGCCAGTCCTAGCACGACCAAATTCGACCCGCTCCGCTTCGTACACGCTCTCGTTGCTGTCCTTCCCAGTCGGTTCCTCGCTTTCTCCCTCGTTGCACTTAGGGTTCTTGGTCTGAAAATTCTCGCGCCGAAGGGTCAACCAGCCCAGTCAGCTCGTCACCACCTGTCCCCTCCTCATTTGATGGCAAAACCAGGTTACTGAGACAGTACAGCTCCCTCTAGCAAGCATAGGGCCGTGTACATAGTGCCCGTCCACCTTTCTGATGGCGTCTGCCTCCGCGCACAAAGATGAGATGGGCATTGCTGCCTGCACCGACGGCCTCGAGGCCCGCGCATCTGCACCTTTGTACCTGACGCACCAGTGCCGACCCAACTCCACCACTACGCACGCCTTGCGGCGGGTGCTCCGTAGCAAGAAGGTATCGGTCCCTTGAGGATGAGTCTAGCCCTGCTCGCTAGAAAGACCCCCCCCCTCGCTTTGGCACACCCCCCTCCCCGGTGTTTGCCATCGGGGTTTGGGTTTTCGTCGCTTGGCAACGACGTTGTAAAACAAGCCCCCCACTCGGTGTTTGCCATCGGGATTGGGTTTTCGTCCATTGGCAACGACGTTGTAAAACAAGCCAATTCACTTCGTGAACTCGGCAACCAGGTTACCGTCTTTTTTTTTTACCTCTGTTTTTTTTTTTGGCGGTAACCATAATGGTGGTCGAGTAGATCATGTTGTGCGGGGTCGAGAACCCTCACTCCGCGCAACGGGGGATGATCGCACCCACGTTGTGTTAAAATGGTCAAGCTTCCTCGAGGCAGTTACACAGTGCTTACAACTGTCTCTGGAAGTGAAAGCACCAGAAAATAAATTAAGTCATACGTAGCTGTCATCCGTACGCAAGGAAGTAAGCACAAGATGCCAAACACCCTTAGCAGGATGCAGCTCACCCTTCATGCGACTCGCCAAATACCTCACGGCGCTTCGCGCTTGGTGATGTGAGAGCCTGGTCCGGGGAGAACCCGGCGTGCTCCGTCCCGGCTTTGTAGGGATGCGAGGTCAATGGTCAAACGACTACGGCATGCACGACTATGAGTACACCCCCCCCCCCCCCCCCCCCCCTTTGGGGCATGGCCAAACAAAACCTTGCCCAAGCAACCAGGGGAAAAAAGGAGTGGGGGGACCTTGGGCAAAAAACGGGATGTTTGGGCCCCTGGGCCCAATCCTCCAAGCTCACCCCTTTCAAACAAAACCCCCATGGACGCCCGAACTCGTCCAACAAAATTTTTCATCTGGCGGCCCGATTGGCTATTTTGCAGGGGGGGGTCACCGGAACGGGCCTGGGGAGAACCCCCAATGGCAAGCGGCCATGAAGGGGTTGGAAACCTTGCGTCCCCCCCCCCAAGGGAATGGAAGGGGGCCCCCGGGTGCCCTCCCCGCCTCGGGGGGGGCCCTGAAACCCCCCCCCGAGTTAAGGGTTGGCGGGGCAGGGAAACCC